GGGAAGCTGAAAAGTCCTTGACTAGCACAAGCAGTACTTAGTAACAACTGAAACATCAGCGTGTTATCTACATTATTCTCCTACTAAATCCAAAACACAGCACTATGCCTGCTACTAGGAAGAAAATTAACTCTATCCCAGCCGAAATCAGGACACAGACTGTGTACATATTGCTAACAATATGCACAATGTCTTTTACAGACAAAGTCCCCTACAGTTTACAGTCCAGAAGATTCATTCTTTCACAAAGAAATATTTCAGCTACTGTGAATAAAAGATCCTATTTATAAAGGGAGCTTAACAAATTTAGAGTGTCTCCTGCTATCTAATGGTGAACTGCATTTCTTCCATTTTGTATTCTGTTTTAGCAGAAAGTCTATGGTCTTATGTTTTAAAAGTTCCTTTTCATACATTTTCTTTAGTATGTGCTCATGCAAATAACATCAAGACAAAGCAAATCTGGTTTTTGTAGACCAAAATTGTGAGCATATATTAAGCATTTTAAAGGTTATTTAGATTAGATGCTGGTATTATTAATCAATTATTTCAGCAACTTGTGAAATAGGACAAAAATTAGCCAAGGAATGGTATAACATTTAATTCCTTGCTGTCCGGCAGTAATATGAAACCTTGGTCTATCCGCTGCATCCCTTAGCTCACTGAAGGCCAAAGAAAAAGCATTTCAGCAAAATTCATCATACCATATCGTGGCAAGATTCTACATCCTTTCCAATTCCATGGCTGATGAGTGGTGGCTGAGAGGAACAGTTTATAAGAGATACAAATTCGTTCTTGTTATTTTTTGGAAAGTCTTTATATTCAACCTGAAGAAAAAAAGAGAAGGATTTAGTTCTTTTCAGTTAACCAAGTACAGGAAGTATATCACAATTGCTATAGATTATTTGCCCATATATGAAGCTGAACCTTACTTTTAACCATTCTGTCAGCCAATAGAACCATTTACTTTGAAGTTTGACTTCACTTGCGATGTTCTTAGTAATCATGAGAGCTCTGCAAACCTTCTGAATAAAAGTCACTATGTAATAATGGTTGTTGCTGGGACCTTTATTCTGATCATACCTATCTGCATTTAAAATTTTCCCTGTTACACTTTTTAATCCACTGAGCTCCTTTAATGTATTAATATGGGAACTTATATGCAATCCTGATTAAAGGGCCCAAACACAAGAAAATGTACAGCTTACAGCAAATGTTAATGTATGAAAGATTATTAAAAAAAAATTAGTTCAGATCAGCCGAGTTCAAATTATGTTCATACGTCACTGCAATTTTCAGGAAATGTTACTTTCAATTTTATTCCAAGACTTCAGAGTAAGCACTGAAGTAAGGCTGAGGCTGCAGTACAGAAATGCACATTTGAAAACTACGTAAAAAAAGCTGTAAAATTCAGTACATTTCATAGGTAAAGTAAAACATTTACATGAATTTCAGCTTAACAAGCAGCCTCAGAACACATCAGTCACCAGCAGAACTAAAAAGCTTTGAACAAACAACAGGTTGGACCAGTTTGGATAGCTTTGGAAGAAATCCTGCAAAGCTGAGCATTTACCTGGATTCCTTGAACATTGGAAAGATAGTCCAGCTGCTCAGAGGGCCTAGTAAGTGGTCCGTGGGGTACGTGGCCCGATGAGTTGTTGTTCTTTAATATGGTCTCAGCAGTAGGAGAAGTACCACCATACAATAGCTCTCTAGCAATCATTGCTGTTACTGTAGCCTTGGCAGGATTTGGGGCTGCCCTATTGAACTCTTTGGTGTGGTGTCCTTGATTGGCTCCTACAGCTTGTGCAACCTCAGGGACCATGGGAAGAATTCCAGCAGGAAGCTGCTGATGGCTGAGATAAGGCATCCTAAACTCATCTTCTTTATTACCTGAGAAGAGAGAGGTACATGCTGAACAGATGCTAGCTATTTCTATGAGGCCTTCTGCAGGCACAGGAAGGCATAGATAGGCATCAAAAGCCACTTTTGAAAAACATAATTTGTTTCACATGACTTTGTTAACAAACTTAGCGAGCTTGTTTCACCTTTGGTGGGTGAGAGATTCAGCTTCATCAAGACAGAGTTTGCTTACTGAATAAATGATTCAGTGAACAAAACCCTCCCAAGGGTTAGATTTAGTTTGCAAGCCAGCAGTTGCACACCTGTGCTGATTACAGTGCGTTCAATGGCACTACTGAAGGGACTGGGAAACATGTCTTACATACACACACGTGCCAACAGGGCCACGCTTCTTTCAGTAAAGTTACTTACTAGTTGAAGTCTCTTCAGAGCCTGGCTCAAAGAAGGTTACTTTTCTTCCATCACCTGGTTTCTTCACTGGTGTCTTAAGAATAAAAGGGAAAAAAAAAAGCCAAAACCACAATATCCCTTTAAAACTGCCCCCCCCCCCGAGTCTTAAAGTTTTCAAGATGTAGGTGATCTGACTACTCAAAATTTTACTGAAGAATTTATTATTCAAAAACCTCAATTATTACATAGCTACCAAGAAAAGACAAGTTCAGTGATTCTTATTCACTGAATGACTAAAACTATTTCCAGACTAGTGAAGCGGTATTAAGAACACAGATATTGAGAACTAGACACCATAATAAAGCCAGTTAAACTAACATTAGTATTGCTGAGGACAATGTACTGGGCACAAATGAGCGTATACACGGAAAAGGAGAAAATTAAAACCAGCCTTGCTATTTTAATTCCCTGGTAACACCTGCAGAATCAATAGGAGAATGCAAGGCTCCTTCCCTGCTAAGGGACCCACCAAAGAAAGAGATCTGTAACAAACTTTCGACTGCAACTGGTGATAAGGCTATGTAAAAGTATTCCTACCACAAAGTCCTACAACCTATGTGTCTGCAAGCTTCTAAAACCAAATACATAATTTATCACAGGTTCTGAGCCATTCTATAAAGAACACATTCATTTAGCCTTCTGATGAGACTTTGATTTACTTGCAAAATCGAAACCTTAATGTATGTAAAATGCACTATTATTTAGAGAACAGTCACCTCAATACAACTGCTTCCTGGCTAGGGCAGAAAGCATGAATTTACTACACTGTTACTGCCTTGCCAAGCTGCTATTGTTGCAACTCAACTTTTGATGTAGCACCAAACAGAGTTGATTTTTAAAGACTCTTACCTTCTCTTCTGTCTTTAATGCTGGCTTTGGAGGTTGAGGTTGAGGGACTTTGAAACCTAAAAGTTCCAACATATTTTCAGCTGCATTGCGCTTAGCAACTTTTTTGTTCGTGCCCATTCCTTCAGTTGTGTGTACACCAACTTTCACCTGGACAAAAGAGGAAGAAAAACCAAATCAATTCTTAAACAGCAGTATGAGGATTCACTTATTAGTGATCTGTGTCTCAAGCATGCTATGAGTCACAGAACAGGTGAAGTGATCATTCTTCTAAGCAAGTTGTCATTTACGATCAATGATCAGTGGCCTTCAAGCACAAAAAACCCAAACAGAAGTCACCCAAACAACTATATTTCATCATCTCACCTTGGCAACAGCCTAAGTGCTCAAAACTGGTGTCACAGTAGACAAATTTTCCAAGCTGAAGTTACAGATTTTGCAGATTTACTAATGTAATGGAAAGAAAGCAACTAACTTTCCTGTCATGGCCAGGACAGGATAGAGGTCTGGAGAATGCACTTAATTATTAGAGGCTGGTAGATACTCAGTATTAAAAATACTACTATGGTATTGGGGTTTGCAATGCAGAGTGCAGAAAGTGCTGCACTCCAAAGCAACACACAAAAACTCAGGGGAAGGAGGAAATTAAGGATAGCCAGGTTCGTGTTAATATACCCTACATTAAAAATATAAGCAGCTCAGTATCTCTTAACAGAATATTAAAATTCCTGTTAGTTAAAACATTAGGCAGTTACAACATAGACTTCTGGTGCCCTATGCAATTTTTTTTTTTTTTTTTTTTAAAACATGATTCAGATCCCTTTTCTTGAACCTTTCTCTTCCTTGAATGTAAGCCCACAAGGTATCTTCTTAATAAATTTTGTGGAAATTTCGCCGTAATCCTGTTAACTTTGTATATCATCATGACAACCTGATTATCATAAGCCAAAAAAAAAAAAAAAAAAAAAAAAAAAAAAAAAAAGACATCATAGCCATGCAAGTAGATTTCTCAAATTAACATACAAACCTGCATAACAAACTCCCTGCGCCGTGGAAGACCACGTTCTGTGATGAGCATGTATTCTGGTTCCTTTTCTTTCTTGGCCTGCTGTATCTGGGCAAGTCTGCTAATGGGATTCATTCCTTGACCATATTCTGGACTTGTTTGCAGCTATGTAGAACAACGTTTAGGAAATAAGCCAAAATTTGTGAATATTTGGTTTAATAGACAAATGCAGTGTGCCACTGAATTCATTACTCTCTAGAATTTAAAAACACTGAAATAAAAGTTGCTTAATGAAACACTGTCACAGCCAAAGAGAAACAATTTATTTGGCTCTGCTGTCACAGCTGACCACATATAACCTACCACTGGTAATAGTTTTACAAGTTCTAATCCTGCTATATTAGGAAGGACAGGCTTGCAGGAGAATTTGCATGAACAAAATCATGCAAACCCAAAGCTGTAAAGTCTAAGACTTGAAAGTCAGAGCTTGATTTTTATGTGCCACTCATTCTTTTATACGGTTTCTCTTTCATCCTGAATTTACTGATAACCGTTGTAAAAGTGGTGTCAGAACTCCACTGTGGGAGCAAAATATCATTTCATTTGTAGTACCAGTCTGCTGATAGAAGTCGAGCAGTTGAAGAGTGTTTATAATTAAGTCAGAAACGTCTCTCATCTGATAATTATTTACAAGTCAGATTTCCAATCTGTTTGTCTCTTACCTTCACTATTGATTTTGTTTTCTTTTTGATTCGTGGCTTCATTTTCTCAACCGTAGGAAGGGGTGGCAATTTTTTCAGTTCTTCTAGGACTGCTATTGCAGCATTTTTCTTTGAGATCTTCTTGCTCTTTCCTTCACCTTCACCCATGAATTCTCCAACTGACACCTTGGTTACAAAGCTCTTCATATGGGGAGGACCACTTTCCTTGGTCACCTGTTTCAGAGGGAAAAACTGAGTGAAAGCGTGATAAACACTTATTAAAAATGGTAGGGCACATTGTTTATAGCAAACTTCTCTCAAGAACTACGGACAAAGAGATTTTAAGATTCTCATACAATCCAGAAAGTAGAAATGTAAATCATACTCACTCTAACATAATCCCACCCACATAAACGTATACTTTCAAAAGATCAGATGCAGCAAGCAGTAAACAGTATTTACATGAGTCATTAACCCATCTTATTTAATTTACTGATTTACTCTTCCAATATTAAAATATGACTGTTCTGCTTCATCAGTGTGTACTTCCACACAGTTAATGTCACCTCATTAAATACATCATGTTATGGTAGTAGAACATTACAGAGAAAACAATTCTTTAGGATCCAGCATTTTAGTTCAGAAAGCAAGAATTCTGGAAACACCTAAAAAGACAGCTGCTTACTACAGATTTAGTCTTTTAACTCCATTCATAACACATCATACTTCAAAATACCCATAAAGTCAAAAAGTAATAATGAATTAAGAACTTCCACCCACAACTGGCTTTGTGTGACGGTATATTTTTACCAGTGATGGTCAGGCTAATCTGCAATAATTGAAAGCTTCATGTAAAATTTCATAGAACAGTTTTAGAAGCAATGTAGTTACACACAAGTGCGTTTTCTTACTATAATATTCCAGATAGTTGACTGAAATGTTACTCTGCCAGCTCAGGAAAGCAGCATGATAAATGACTATTTCAGTGAAACAGAGACGCTCCTATGGAACCTATTGATTCAAGGTAACTAAAATGGTCAAGGAGGGGCAAAGAGGCAGCAAGCAGCCAGGCCAAAGGGAAAGGAAAGTAAGATGCACATGAGGTCACCTCATGGCAAGAAAAGAAACCTATTTGTGAGATTCTGCAACTTGCGGGTAGTCCACATCAGTGCTTAATTAAGCAAATACTTCCATAAATGTCTTTCAGAGTGAGCTACACTCTTCGGCCTCGACTCTGCACTTCAATGTTCTAACCATTAATGTGGGGTTGTGTTTTGTTTCTTCACTGTAATACTGATTTTTCAAAAGGTTGGAAAAAAGATTGCACAGACAACCACAGTGTAGCTGTTCACTCATGTATGATTTTAGCGCATGAATTTGTGAACAGGTGGATTTTTCTTTTTTCTTCACTTTACCATATAAACTCCAAGACAATCAGGGTGACTGTCAAAGGTAAAAGTGTATTCACAACTAACAAGACATGTTAAAAGTCAGTTGTTTGGGTTATCTAGAAGAGACTCAGTGTACCCTTAATATTCTAACAAAAACAAATCTAGAGCTTGTAAAATAAACATACCTCAAAATTCACAGGCAAGTTCCTTTTAAGTGCAATCTCAAAAACTTGGCTTATTTCAGATTTATTGAGATTTTCATCATCTGGTTCTTTTCCGTTAACCTAAAAGAAGCATACTCTATTTAAAATAAAGATCCTATTAAATTGAATTTTATCCATCCAACCAGTTTACTGAACTCTCAAAATTTTAAGTAGTCTAACCTTTACTGCCATTTTACGTGAATGTGTAGAAATGCAGCACACATACTACAGAATTGAAACTTAAGAAGGTTATTTAAGGTGTATGTGTAAAAGCTAGCAAACCTTCATGTTTTCATGTGCTCATTACAGGAAAGAACAAATGGAATAAGGGCCAATAGGTTTAAAAACCTATTTATAGAAAAACAAACTGAAGTGTTAAATGAACTGATTTCCAAATGGAAGTACCTTTATGAAATTCAATTTTCATATGCTGATTGGACATTTGTACCAAAAGCACTAAGACAGTATCAGATAAGAGAAAGGGCAGGAAAAATAAAGATTCTGAGAATGGGACCAATGTGAATAAAGGATGGCTAATCAGACCCTGGCATAGTCCTGTCTTTTAACATGCTCTCTCATAACTGCTTCATCTACAGATTTTTTTCTCATCTGAAGAACATACTATCAGGAACTTGCCTTAAATGAACTGGTGTACATCTCTGAGAACTTACACCTGCTAGGAGGACAGCAGTGCCAGGTGAAGCTTACCTACAGGCACTTCTACGTATCTCCAGGTAAAATTTTGATTGTGATTCCAAAAATGTCTTCACTGATGTTGGGATCAACATGAACTAAGAGGCATGGTAACAGCAACAGAGAAATTTTAAGACTAAGTGTCCAGCAGTGATATTGGAAAGATTATGATAAAGATGAATAGCAACAATTTCACCAGTTATATCTTGCCACAATACTAGTTATGCAACCAGGTACCAAAACTGATTTAAATATTTTATTGGAGCAGCAGAAATATGCTAGAGAGCTCTCATTGATTAAAAATATTTTTGATGGTAGCAAGCATCCCCAATGTCTGTTACTAAAAGTTAGATTAAAACATGAAGGAAAATTTTTCCCCACCACTTAAAGCAGCCTCTTCCCATCTCAGAACAAAATACGAGTAAAATTAATCTGTGATTTTCACTCCTCCCACTGTCCCATCAGATTTCACACTGTTCTTATGGGTTGACCTTGTATTCAGGTTTGAGTTGCAAACATTTCAGGAGAGCACCTATAGCCCAACATCCTTTTACAATGATAACATCTGATACTTCTGATCCCACTACTACAGCCAGTCTCCAACCTCTACGCAGAGGTGTACGTAGAGCCATCTTCGGGTCTGCAAAAACTGAGACCACATGATGGCACCACTCCCACAGGAGCACGGCAGATGCACTGTGCATTAGACTGCACGAGAAACGTGGAGGCAACCCCTACACTAGACGAACCATACTATACCTCAGCAGAAGGCACAACGCAGGTAAAAATTGGCAAAACCAAGATTGAATACAGGAGTCAAAAGTCTTGATCACCATATTCTAAAACCTATTTCAAATGCAATTGGTAAGTTCAAAAGGAATAGCATCATATACCCAGAAAAAATACTTGAACTACTAAGGTCTTATTTTATTACGGTCTAGGTGTTACAGCAAGTTTACTAGCAGCATCTCTAGGAATGATCTGTCACTACCCTTACTGTCAAAACGTTAGCACAATCACTTTAATTACAAATATTTTTCCCCTCCTTGTAATTTCAGATATATTCTATTTTTCAAATTCCGACATTCTTCCTTGCAAAGGTGACCAGGACTTCTCTTTATTGGATTTAGATTTTTTCCCATTTAATATCCTTTCAAGAGAATACAAATAAATAGTATGGAATTATTTGCTATATTACAGTGTATATTCTTGACATATTCCAAGTCTGTTCACATGGTGTAAAACACAGGTACTTTTCTTCAATACCTTTATCTAAAAGAGTAAATTAATAGCAAAATAACATTTACCAGACTATAGCTATTTTACCAATTATTTTGCCTCTACTTGAGTTCTGGATCAGTTTATTTTATAAATTTAAAAAAAAAAAATCATATACACATGCTCTCCCTCTTTTTCCCTGCACACCTCAAGACAGATGATCTATAAAGTCTGCTTTTAAAGTAGTTGGCATGTGTGCATAAACTAAACTCTAAATGAGAATGAGACCATGAATATAAGCATTTACCACTCTGTTCTCATCAAGTTGTTCAAATCTGTCTCTATCAAGTGAAAAAAACAGTTACAAAAGGAAACAGAAGTGCTAGATTAAAAAACTCCCAAGCAAATTGCAAAAGTAATACACTCCTTTAAGAGTCGTTCATGCTTTTCTAGGGACTCTTTCAATATGCACTTCCTCAAAGACTGCTTATAAGCAAATTATGAAAACCAGTGGAGCTGCTGATTAGAACTACATTGATTTCAACATAGCTATCAGTCTGACTATTTTCTTCCATGTTAAGGGTGTAAAGAGCAGCTGATATTTAACCAAATAAGTTGGCAAAAACATAGAAGCAATACTGGTTTTAGTATTTTCAGGCAAAAGTTAGAATTTCTGCCTAAGAATTGTGCTAGAAAGCATAGCTTTCTATGTTTTCTAAGATTTAAATCGATGCTTTATCATCTCTGTCTTTCAATATGCAGAATAACCCTGTACTGCAATTTTGTCAGTGTGTCTTAATTCCAATCAGGCTAATTTAGGTTGGAAGGGTCCTTTGGAGGTCTCCTACTACAGCCTCCCGCTCAAAGCAGAGCAGACTTTAAAATCAAACTGGGTTGTTCAGGCAGGGCTTTGTCCGGTTGAGCACCAACATTACTAATTTTGTTTCCTGCCACTTGCTTCTAGATTTGCAGTCTGTGAAGGTGTTGGAAATGGTCATTCTTACCCTTAAAGTCTAATAATTTTATTCAATGATTTCTTCTTAAACATGGAATATTTTCTAATTTAAAAATACAAGAATAAAATCCTGTAAATACAAAAATTTGTAAAATAAAAATAATTTTTAAAAATTTTACAAAATGAACACCAACACAACCCCTCCCCCCGCCCCCCAAATAGAAGAGTTCAAGCTTAAGCATATTCTGTTTACACACACACACAAATGGGATACACAAAAATAAGTACATTTACAAGGAAAATTACTGGCAACATCAAATGACAGGTAGGAAGTATCAGGATTATGTCTGCTTGTGAAATCTTAATTTGCCTCCATTGTCTACACACATTATAATAGCATCTCTTATGATCTTACACTACCATATCCTTCAAGGACCTTGCCTCACTGAATGCAAGAACAAACAGTGCTCATTTAGTGGTAAAATTTTCCTTATTTTATCTTCATCTTGTCTAGTGCTAAACACTGTTATAAAACCAGTGATTCCCTCAGACACTCCTAAAACTACAATATTTGAAAGCCACTAATATTAATAAACTTAGCATTTAAGTACCAAACTTTAAATTAAGATCTGATTTATCTGAGTACTTATTATAAAACAGTACTCTCTGTTCAAAGGGATTGGTCTCCTTAAGCGTAGCTGCCTTCCTTACTGTTCATTTTGTAGATGAATCAAACATAAGTAGAAAAATAAAATCACAAATGCACGTTTCTTGTGAAAGTTTAAGTGACTCGCCCAGCATATGTATAGCAGGGTCAAGACAGCATTCAGCTCCCAGCGAGCTTGCAACTGTTTTATTCATAAAATAATTCTCCCTTCTTGCAATCTCTTTCATCATTGACAGTAGTATTTCCCTTATCACGTCCTTACAAAAAAAGAGAAAAAGGAGAGACTCTGTAGGTTTACTTCCTTTACCTCTCGATTTACACCCCTTACATTGAATGAGACATCCTATAGAAAAGGATACATGGTCACGTAAAGACAATTGCAGTGTTTGTTCTGAAGACCTCACATTACTGAACTTTAAACACAACTCTACAAATATTCAGAAAGTCACTTGTACAGAAGCATTTCTAAAAAAGTAAACAGAAAAGAATTTAGTTACATGTGATCCTATTATTTTCTGCAGAGTTGGACTCCTTGGGTCCAGTACACAGAACTTTGCTATCTGAGGTGGAAAAATGGCTGAAGACAGTAGGTTATCTTTTACGAGGGTGAGTGCAAAAAGGGATGTTATGCATCACTGACATGGAATGACAATACTCAGGAATTTGAGGTTCCCCTGCACTGAAGGGGAACATAGCCCTCAGGCTTGACCTCTGCTGCGTGAAGACCTCCAGCTTGTCCCTGACCACACTGCCTATCACCAGTTCTAGATTTCAGTGCAGAACTCATCTCCACTCTTTCAGCTTCTATTCCTAGCATCACTCTCTCCTCCCCCAGAGCATCTAAAATCCCTTGACTCTTAGTAGCCTCCACCATTCAATAATCTACATTCCTCCAGGAGAGCTTTCTGTTACTTGAACCACTACCATCAGACCTCCCAGGCCTCTTCGCTGAACCAGATCCAATGTTTTTGCCTAACTATCTGGGCAATGCTCTCTCCCACAAACACACTCGGAAGTTTTAACTGAATGGCCCTTGGCTTCACAATACATTTCCTCAATCCTCTTGCTCTGCCATTCCCAGTAGTTCTCAGCTGATTTTTCCCCAGTCTGAGACCCCTTGTTACCTTCTTGCCCGATTCATTTTCCTTCTTTCTCGGCACACAGCCAGACTCTGTATCCAGGAAATTCTCATGCTCCCCAGATTGTAAGTTACCAGTCTAACCTCCACTTCCTGTTCCTCACCTCTCTGGCAATGTCCTAGTCTCTCTTGCTTCTAGGTTTGTATTGCACAGACTCCTCCTCAACACGATAGAGATGCCAGCCCAGCATGGAGTTCATAGATCTCTTGCTCTTAGTTCTAACATCAAGCCCTCATAACTCAGACAGGTATAATAAGCCCATAAAGGAAAGACTAAATACGCTCTTTGTAGTAGCCTTTGGCCAAAGTAGTCAGCCAACGCATACGGAGAGGGTGCACACAGTCAACCAGCCCCAGGAGCTACAAGTAACTTGTGTGCACACAATGAGACCTTCTGCCTAATGCAACTTAAAAAAAAAAAAAAGCATGAAAAACACCAATAACAGGGTCTTGGAATGGAAAGTGCTGGGCAGCCATAAATATATGAAAGGATAAAAATTTTTTTCTTATATTCATGTCAAAATGCGTGTATGAGTTTACTACTTCCATGAACTTGCTGCACTTCTAGAACTTCCGTGATTCTATCCAAAATCAAGTAGGAATTTTGCCCAGGAAGGAAACCCATGTCTGATTTCTATGTTGCCCATACTAGAATGCAAGTACCCCATTTACACACTTCTTCAGAATTTTGTATATTATCTGTACCTGATAAGATATTAGTTCCTATCTATGCTTCCAGTGCTCATATCTGACAGAGGTCTATAGCATTGCTGTGGAAAAATACGACAGCAAAAGAATTAATATAACTTCATTTGGGAAAACTCTAGTTCCATAGAAATTTATGTTTTTAAATCAAAGTAGTTTTATTGACACAAGTAGGTCAACACTACTACACAGAATTAAATTTCACAACTGTCATCTTCCAATAAGGAAAAAATCTACAATATCTCAGTTTATCTTAGCAATTTATGCTTACAACACTAAGATTAATTCCCACCTCTGGTTTCTCAGGCAAGGGCTCATTCTGCAGAACTTTCAGTGCTTTAGCAGCTGCATCATGCTTAGCAGCTTGTCTTGTTCTTCCTTTCCCATGAAACTGCTGCCCTCCAATTGAAAGCTCAACTTGATAAAGTAAGGGCCCAACAGGAAATGGGTAAAAGTACCTGCAGAGAGAGAGATTTAAATAAGCACATAGTTTAGCCTACAAAGTAAACAGAAACATAAGTTATACATGGATGAATGTCTTGGATATCAGTAACCACAACTCAGCACTGAAGCACTAGAATTAAAAAGCCAAATTTTGATTTAAAGTTTAAAAGATTTTAGGGAGAGACCTTTGAAACAGAGTATCAATGTTTCTTATTTTACAATACAAACACATTTCTAACCAACGAGAACAGAGAAAGACAAAGTAACTATGCTTTTACAGACTTGGCAGGCCAGTAAGTTTTGAATTCTCAATTCCTATGCCCATACAGAATTCTTTACACTGAAGCTTTAATTTAAATAGTTTTAGAAAAAGCAAACTAGTTTCTTCACTTTTGCTCTTACACAGAAAGGAAATGTAAGAAATATTTAGCTAAAGAAATATTTAGCCAATATTCAGCTATTCACTTCATGAAGCTGGCTATATCCGAATGCCCTCAAAAACACTCCATCATTTGGCTCAGTTCCCTTTTAATACCCCTTCCCCACCCCCCCAAGGGAAAAAAAAACCAAACCCTTAAGAAAGACAAATTTCAGATATTAGTGGGTAGTGGGGTGTACTTATCAAAACCTTTTGCCTCATAAGCTGGCTATGTTTCAAGCTGAATATCCCTTTAAGGGATGTTGTACTTTTAGCTAGTTTTCAGAAGATAGCATCAAAGCACTCAGATGATGAGAGCGGAAGTTCAAAGATATGAAACTGCAAAACAAAAAAAAATAAACAATACGTACCGTGGAGGATAAGTACCACCTCTCATAGTATAGTTGTAGGTGGATCTCATCCCCGTATAAGGATCGATAGGTTTGTACATAGGTTTCTTTCCCAGCTTCATGCAAAGTGCATTTAACTCCACTGTGGGGGTTACACTGTCTAAATAAAAAGGAATATAAAGAGAGTTGTCCAACTGTCACAAGGAACTGAAACAATCTAAACTTTTATGCTGTCTCAGAGTAGGGAAAAATGAGCTCAAGTTTTGCCATATGCAGTATCTTAAATGAATGAATTCTGAATAGAAATGCTAATGAACACAAAGAAAATAAGTCTATATGATGCATATTATATTAGCAGCCTAGTACAGTTGTGACAAATCCTGATACAAAAAAGTGAATTTGCTGAGGGGTTTTGTTTTGCGTTTTTTTTATTTTACTTTAAACTTGTGAAGCTACCAATTTATTTTTACAGCATATCTAACAATGTGGTCTGCAGAACAGAAATTTGATGATAAGAAGGGTTTCTATGACTCTTCACTTTCAAATTGCAACTTGCCTTTTCAAAAGGAAGGTATATTGCTACTGAGGGCTATGAACATTTCTGCTGGTGCAGGAGAAATGCAACCTCTCCTTATGGAACTTTCAAATATATCTTGAAAGCAATCTTAGTAAAGTAAGAAGTATTGTGTGGATCAAGAATTGACTCACTGACTATTCTCATTTGAGAAAGAACAGTCACGTAAACGGTCATCTTTTCTACCACAGGCCTCACTGGCTCAAAAATCAGCATGTACTCTAGTACAACAGTGTTTTGTTGTAAGGCAATTGCCAAAAGAAAATGAAATCATGGAACAGATTCACAGACAAAATAAGTAATTGCTGGCTTCTGATATTTTCACTGTTGACTGGACAAAGTGTTTCTAAAGAAAGAATTTAGGTGATATCAGAATACAACTGGCACAAAAGATAAGTTTCAACCTTTGCTGAACATGCTAATGCTATCCTAACAGCTTTGCGTTCAAGTGACTAAGAGTAAATGCAAAGCAATCCCATGTGCAGCTGAGATGTGAAGCTAGTTCATACCTAATTCTACACGTTAAATATATCTTAAAAGCAATCTTAGTAAAGTAAGAAGTTCTTTAAACATAGCTAACTACACCTTAAATGTTTTTATACAAATCAACATCTATCTTTTAAAGAAGTATAAATGATGCAAATTCCAAAGTTCTGATCCAATCCCTCAACACAAATTTAACTTTTTTGGTTTGGGGTTTTTTTTTTTAAACTTACATTTCCAAAGAAATCTTTATTGTCAAGCTTTTGAATTACCCTATCAGAATTACCAAACACATTCATGTGCCGACACAAAAGATTATTCTTTACTGTGACCAAATTCCTCACGTGTTTTTTTTTTATTTTTGTTTTTAACTTTTTTTTTTTTTTAAGAGTAGGATAAACCTCTTTTCCAGGATCCCACCAAGTGTTACAATACAAAACAGTAAGTTAAGCAGTGGGTTCTTCAAGCCTGAATGACTTAACGGAAAAACCCTATACTTTAACTTGCTAATATGATGATTTTTTTTTTTTTTTTGGTCACCTACAACAATCAAAGATTCAATCAAGATGATTTTCTCACAAAATCTGACAACTGTCATTGTTAAATATGCAGAATCACTGTTTTTATTCATCCTTATGCAACTTTCAAATACATACCAAAACCAGAAAGGTGTATTTTTTTTTTTTAAATCAGTTTGTTGTGGTATATACCTGGATTCTTGCCTTCACTACGAGATGGACGAGCCGTAGGCTTAGGGAATTTTGTCCCTTCCAAAGCTTTGGCAGCTGCCGCGTGTTGCGCTTTTTTAATACTAGTTCCTTCAGCTTCCCAGTGCTGGTCCCCAAGAGTCAGTTGCACTGTAAACACCTGAAAAATAGAAAACGTTGATTTTATTATGAGCTGCTTCAGAATTCACATAATTTATTAGACCCTCTTACACAAAACAATGAGTCTTTCAGTGATGCAAAAGTTAGGAATACAGTAATCAAAGCTTTCCTCAACTACCATGTCATCTCTAGATTTGGACATCGATAGGATTTCCTCGATTACTGAATTAAGAATTTCACAATAATTGTAGCTAGCAACTATCCTGTGTACTGCATGAGATCATATAGGCTAAAAACCAAAAGACGCAAGGTGTATAGATGTGACAGCTACACGGAGAGCTGGTATGCCAACATTACTCTGAACAGCAGCCTTGAAATTCAGACTTTTTTATTCCACATAGCTCAATTCTTGTATTAATACTGTGGGGGTTTTTTAACAATATTTTTCAGCAGTTTGAAGAAAGATAAGTTCACATTGCACCATAAAAGCTTTTACATGCCCACAGGTGAGCCAAGCCCATCTGATTATAGAGCAAAGCTCTGTGGCACTTCTTTTTAAGTATGTGGGATAAGGAAGGATATATATTGCCCTAAATTTTCACAAATTAATCAGACAACAGCAAGCCAAGGTCTCCCTGGTAATTAAATTAAGTTTAATTTCAATCAGAATGAAAACACAAGCGAACAGATGCTCTGAATGTTATTCCAATACTTTTTGTAAATGCAAACCTTGCCTCCTTTGCACATTGAAGCTGACGTTACATGTGTTTTGGACAAAAGATTTTAGTTCTTAATATTATTCAAATCCAAGGCAATTCCTCTAACATACAACAAACACTGTTCCATGAAACACCTTAAGGAGACGATGTCAGATTAAATAGACGCATCCCAGGCTGATTTTCCTTGCATGCCTTGACCTCAGTTCTCACAGAGACCCTCCACGAGGATTAAAAAGTTTAATAATGCTAAAACTCCCTTCTTCAGGGTTCTTTGAAGTAACACAAACTGCTTGTATATCCACTGTATTCCTGAAAAACTCTCTCTCCGCTTATGAACAGAACACCAAAGGAATTGTACATTACCGAGATTTTGACTCATTGTAAAAGATGTGCCATGATATGGGATGCACACCACATGCTGGTCTACCCTCGGCATCCCTATATTCCCACTGTGAAGAACTAAAGACTCCTTTGCTAAAGTAACTGTTCCAGAACAGATGAATGTTCAGTGCTGTTCAATCATACTGTACTTCAGGCTTTAAAGAACATATACCAAGATCCTTGTTTTCCAAGTATCAGGCAATTAGGATAGAAAGGTTCATTTTATTTACAGCTAAAACAGAGCAACAGCAAAGCAACATTCAGTTATGACGTGCACAAGAGAGAACAACTCTTAATTTTACGTAGTAAATCTTATTCCGGGCATATCAACAAATATAGATTTGTACCTTGCCAACTACATAGACACAAAAGCACTACAACTCCTTATGCAGCATTTTTCCTAAAGAAACATAATTGCCGTAAATCTTCCTGCATCTCACAGTATAATTTGGACTAAGAAACTATTTTAATCTTTTAAAGTTGGTGGGATTAATCTCGAAGTATTAAAGCACACCACAGGAAGAACACAGAAAATTTGCAGAACAGGCAAGATGTAGAACAAAAGATTAACATCGTACTACAAAACGATTGTATAAAGATCATCCATATTTAATACAAAATTTTTTAGCGAAGAGTGCAAGGGACAAACCTTGCTTTATTAAATGAAAGTCAAAGCCAAGCATCTCATAATGGAGCCAACATAAATAACTCTTAAAAAAAGCTAAGCAGTTTCAGGTAACAGGTAAGTTCAACCTTTATGTACTTTGGGAAACCAACTTCACACTTCCCTACCATCGGTACTTTGGTGAGCTTCCCGTTCCTCTCTGTTGTTCTGTATTATCTTGCACCAAAAGCATATACTTTGCCTTTCCACTTATGAAAGTAAAAGCATGAACAGCAATAAGAAACTTATATGAATATTTACCTTAGAATGAGCTGGACCTTGCTCACTCAAAAGCTTATACTCAGGCTGAATCTTGTTGAAACGGGCTAACTCATTCACGAGACACATTGGGGTTTTCTCTTTGGGGTTTGCCATGTTTGAAGGAGCTGAAAGGTTACATAAAATCAGATAAATGACAGGTAGCTATGAACTCCACTACAATTTTTAATTAAAAAAAAAAAAATCTCATTAGCGTAGCATTTAGTTGTCTGCAACACTCCACTTCTCAGAAAAGTCTGCTGGAATAGACAGCTCTGCTCATTAGCCAAACTAGCAGCAATCTACTTGGGACTTCCAAGCAATGCACACACCTAAAAGACAGCATCATTAAATTTAATGTTTTAATGCAAGGCAGAAGTATGAAGTTAGGAGACTCCCGCATTTAGCTTGTATCTTACGTAGTACATTTCAAGGAACAAATCTTCTAAGTATTCATCATGGTCACTTGCTCTGAATAATTTCAAAAAGTCAGTTAATTTCTTTTTCCTTCTCCTATTTTTCCCTATTATCCGTTTTTTATTTATTACCTTTTATTCCCTCTATCATATTTTATTAGCACAATTTATTTATCATTAAACTGGTCATAAAAGAACTAAAGATAATAGAACTAAACAAACTATTTCAAACAACACATTTTTATATTTAAAACCACCTACTTGTAGAAAAGATGGATACCAGTGTTTTAAAAATTCAATGTTATATGATTTTAAATATTCTTTACTGTTACAAACCTTTCAATTAATTATTAGAACTTTGTGGAAAAGTACACTTGTATGTGTCTCAAACGGATTTCATTCAGTAGGGAGAAAGCATTACAAGCTTCTGTAGTTGGATAAATATTACTTTTAAAGTATTTGTAGGTGCAAGACATCAGCAATATATCATGTCAAACTATAAACACTAAAAACATAGACACTTATTAACAGACACTCAATCTTACCTGCAGCTGCGTTGGTGGATGTAACTGATGCAGAGGGTAAAGCAGAGTTTTGGATAGGTCTACCTGCATTTTCAGAGGGCAAAGAACTAGTAGTAGAAGGAATACTCAAAGGCTGTGAAAGAGATGGGTTTTTATTCAATATTTGGCTCCCTGCAAGGGCAGCAGAAGGATTCTGAATTTGAACTTGAGACATGTTCACTTCCAACCAGAGCAAATTACTGTAGGTAAACAGCTTTGAATGCAGGCAAACTCAGTGTGATGAAGCCAAATTGCTGACCTGAAATGTAAAGATGAAAAAAAGATTATACTCAATATTTAGCATTCTCTAACAATCTATTGAAATGATCTCTCCATCACCAAAAAAGGGGAAAAGGGGAAAAAGTGTTCAATCAAGCATCCATTGTTTCCATTTTGTATGCAATAAGTCACTTACGCATCCAGTTTTAACAGCATATTTCAATCTATATGCCCTATCATTTAAGTTTCATATTTCTTTCATTTATAAAAGAGTAGTATAGAAGCTTTATCTATGCTTGTTCATTTAAGATAACTATCCGTTTTCCCATCAGTGAATCCACTCACAAAGCAAACCTAGATACTTAAATTGATAGCCACTGCTTATGTACTAAACAAAGAGCAACTTTCACAAACAGATTACATTTCATGCATTCTACCATTTGAAGTTAAAGTTTTTAACTCGGAAGGGCAAGCACTAAATGTCATCTTTACAAAACAACTATTTACAGCACGCACCCTTTATTATAATCATATACTTTTTTCCGCCAGGATCACTAAGAAGAATGCCTAGCCATTTATGAGGGGAACAACTGGTGTCCAGCAGAAAATGCCGAAGTAGCCATGACTGGGGAAACCAAAGGTGTAGGAGTTCACAAACTTTATAAGCTACATGCGTTTTGAAGGTTACCTCTATTTAAGTGAGCATGTGTTTCAGTCACAGTTCGAGCATCGATTTAGAGTTATTTGGGCTTGCAACACTGTAAACAAGTGTTGAAAGTGCTCATAGGCATCTGTGTTCATTTAAGAAAAAACACCTCCAAGCGATGAGCTTGCACCAGTCAATGTGAAGTATGCGATAGGTCTTTCCTCCACTGACAAATTAGCATTAGACTTCTCTTACACATGGATGCAATATTATCTTCATGCTTAGACAGTTAAACCTAAATATACACTAACAGGTTGCCAGTTTGAAGGCTATCATTGCTGCCAGAGCTCAGCTGCCCATATCCGCTTACGATCCACATATATTTATTAAAAATAAATTTTACAGCCAAGTAAATACATTTTACACACAAAGGCACACACACACGCACACACACACTGGGCACCTGCAGACTTTATTAGGGCAGCAAACAAAGGTTTATTCTTTCATGATTTAGAGATGAAAAGGAGAAGAGAAATCACGGCTCCAGATACCACCAGGGAGCTATTAGTAGCAACACAACTCGACTAGTGCTCTGTAAGCTTCAAATTCTGAACCTGTGAATGGACTTCCAAATGTGAGAGGAGCGGCAATGAGTCAGAGTGACGTTTTTAGCTAGTTACTAACAAAACAAACCTAAGAGGAGAACCTAGGTTAATACATTCATGGATACAAAAATGTATTTATTTAATAAGAGAAGAGGAAAGACGCTACTGGGAAACAATGGATACACCAAGAAATCTATCATCTGGAATACCTTTACTTTGAAAGAACATCATAAACATGTCAGGCTTATCATACTACTGGTTGGATAACTTTGTTTTTTACTAGAGAACGAAATTAGTTCAGATCTCATTAATTCAGAAGACCTGTATGTAGATTATACTCAAAACAAATCCTACATTTGACTACTAAATTTGCAGAAGTTATACACTGGGTGCATTGTAACTGTGAAAAGGGTATTAGGGCCCCGAGAAGTTGTAAGACAAAGATGAAACATATGTAGAATAAGACTCCAGGGTAATAATTTTATAATCACTAAGTTTCATTCCCAGGAGCATCACTAGAAACACTGAAAATTTTCAAACATAATACAACAATAATAATTGCCTGGAAAAGACTATGAAGTCTTGCAGTGCAATAAAAAAAAGCTAATTCTCCTTTTCTGCTGAAGTGCAATGCCCTTCAAAGTAATTGAAGTTAAACAGTTTCTAATCCACACATTTGGAGCAGACAACACCAACATTTTTTATTTTGAAGTCAGTAACATCCAGATCTTTCAGATCACGCTGGAAAGGAGATCTGAAATTCTACTCAGAAAACCCTGCCTACAAGCACTTTGCTATGAAAGCAGGGCACTATCCTTCATTTATTTGCCATCACCTAGTTTCAGGGAACATGGAATTTCAGCTCCAAAATACACACATTGAAGTGGTTTTCTAGTCAACTATCATACAAATGCAGAGAACAACAGTATACCGATCCCTAGTAATTTTTTTTTGCCCAAGAAGGGAAGTCCCTGACAAGGATATTATTAGTTCACTTTCTATATTTATGGCAGGGTAGTACAGAACCTCACAGCAGTACAGCTCAGACTGCTCTCTACCCAGATCTCCCTCCATCAAGAGTTATAACCATCAGTGTTCAGCTTGAAAAAGCTTTTCTTCAAACACCTCTGGTTAGAATAATATTCAGAACAGACAATTCAGCCATTATTCACAGAAATCTGTGGAGACTTGAGGTCACATCCTAGCACTTGAAACAATAAGGTTTTGGAAACCGATCCAATTTCCAATAGACTTCAGCTGTGCAAATGCCACAACCAGACAAAAAAAAAAATGCTGCAGACACGTCCATAGCTCATAACCTGCTTATTGTCAGCATAGAGACTAATTGCCCAACTTTTTTGGCAGTCTGGCTGCTCAGTCACCTCTAAACAGACTAAGTAAGGACCTAGGAACGTGTTTGAAGCACACCTCGCTGGAATTCACCACACGCTGTCCCCCAACCTTTCAACAGACTGGAAGAGTTCAGCCTTTATGTACCTTCTGGGAATCCAAAAGACTTCCAGCCTCACAAGAAACCAAGTACTGTGAATTTAAGCACAGGTCACTTTATGCATCTGTAAGACGGTAAGAATCCCATCCACCCTTCTTTGCAAAATGCTTTGCAATTACAAGTGTAGCCATGATTTGATGACCAAAATTACCATACAAATACCCGGCCTCTTGAGCCATTAATCTGACAAGAAAGAAAAGAGGTACTCAACAGCATCCTGTGAGTGCTCCTTTTGTGACTGTTTCTAAAGGTGGAGGAAGGAAAAGCTGCAAGGCCTAATCGAAAAGAAATGTTAAGGAATCAATAAGCTATACCTTTACTTGAAATAGAAATCTGAAACCTGTAGAACACACTGCTGCTCAAGGCTTATCCCCAAGACATTCAAGTAGCTCAGTACCTGGGCCTGCCAGTCTCTTGCCACGGCTGAACAGAAATTTATTATCAGGGAGAGAACTGAATTGCCATGAAAATAAAACTTTTCCAATGAATGTATCACTTTTAACCTAAGTGAATATAATGCTTGTTTTTACATAAATTGCTACATCATTTCTACATAAATTGCTACATCATCATGATGTTTCTCTCTCCTTCACCAATACACCAATCTCACATGTTTTTATATTCAGATCAAAAGTTGAATCTACTTCCTGTAAGTTATCACCAATTCAGAACTATTTCAGAGTTCATTAGATTGAATTCAGGCAGAACCAAAGCAAGGTAGGCATTAAAAACATCTTGTGAATTGCTGAAATTCCACTTTACAAATTTCTGACAATTTTAGACACTAGGCAGTAAGTTACAAGGTTTATATATACAAGTTTATATATACAAATACACATTTTTTTTTCTTTTTAAAAACATTTAGCTCATACTTTGACAAGCAACTTCAAAGAACAGTCTGACAAAACAAACTGGAATTTTGTTTGTATTTTTTTCATCTACCTGTGAAGTTTATGATACTGTAGTTGATTTGTGTGAAGTATTTCATTAGGGTATAAGAACTCACTGTCCATCACTGCACATTTAATTATTGCTTATTTGGGTATTATAAAAGGGTTTACAGTGCTTTTACAAAGCAATATGCCCTCTACCTTATAGCAGGCTTACAAAATCCTAACTATCCAAGAAAAAGCGCCACAATCTAGAAAGCTGAGGCTAACAACTTATAAAGGCCATTTCAGCGGATAGAGAAACAAAGAGATGCCAGTATTTCAGGTGATTTTTCCATGTAATCAGGGGTTAGCTCCTTCAAACTTTTCAAGACAAATACTAGTACAAATAAGTGACCCCTATACAATACTCGAGGCATTGCTAGAACTTAAAAACCACTTGGAAACATTGAAAGATAGGCGAACGGACAAATATTTTGCTCATACCATCTTAGCCAGCAGCTAGTCACGTAATTTGCTCCTTTCCCACCCTTCCACACTTACTTTTCACTAACTCAGACATTAATATTTCAAATTTTATTGAGACAGTGTTGCGCTAGAATATTATCCTCATGATGGCGATGGCTGCCACCAAAAAATTCAATGACCTATGGACAACAATAAGCTTAGAGAGATGGATTTTCAGATGACAGAGCACCGTTCCCCGCTCTAGTTTTTAGATTTTTATTTTCTTTTGGGGAATCAATGCCTGGAATATTCCCAGAAATTTTGAATACATGAATATGCAAAGTTCAGAAGTCACTAAGGTAACCAAAAGGCGAGCAAAGAAATGCACAAAGATGTGAACATAGGCTCAGTCCACTCAGCCAAAAATAAATTCAAATCTTCCTATATAAAAGAAAGAATGCAGCATTTTCAGATAAAAGTTCTCTTGGGGCTTTTTTGTGTCATAATTCTCAAAGGTGTTGCAGATAGAAGCCAGAGGATCAAACAAAAAACAGACACTTCCTGTGGATAATCATGTTTTACCACAACTCGTGGTTTCTTTAATATAATGCAAATAAAAGGTAAGAAACTTTAATGTTTTAAGTAAGTTTCCTGTACCTTTAGGAGATCCAGAGAGTGAAGATTTGGATTTAGTTCTGAATAGGATATTTATGATGGAGAATGCCTAAAAGGAAAAACAGAGAGTTAGCATTTCGCCTCCTAAAGCTACAAAAAGATCTTCTGCAGCCAGCATCTGACCACTACATTGAGTTTGCCTCATCTGTTTCAATGACAAGAATTTGTATGACCATTAAATTC